TCGCGACTTTCGTACCTTTTCGCGCACCTGGATCTCCTTTCTTCTGAGACTTTCTTTTTTTGTGATCTTCTTTCTTCTTCTCTTCTCTTCTCTTCTCTGACTCTTCCCATCTCTGCTTTTCATCTGTCCATATTGTCGGAAGTTTGACTTCTAAACTTCCTTCGATCATACACAATAATAATTAATACTATATATTGATATTCTATGGAATATGTATATATATATATACAAATCAACTTTTCTTGTTTGCCTATCTCAGCACCCTTCAAGTCCTCTTCGTTTCGTGAGGCCATAAAGCCTGAAAATTTCGTGCAGCACTTTCTGCAGTTCGTGATGCCGTTGGCGACTTCGACTCGGTTGGAGGACCTTGATCCCTAAAATCTGGTTATATATACACATATTATGTAATAGTGTATATATATATTCTATCCCTATAATCAATATATATATATACATACATACATACATACATACATACATACATATATGCACATATCGATGATCTTGTTGGAATCTCGAAAAACATCTGGAATGGTGTGCTATGCTATTTGATGGGAAGTCCATGGGAAAAGCATAGATCAATATGGACATCAGGGAATATTGTACAAAATACTGTAATGATATGGGATGGTATGGGATAGAACCAAGAATCAAACAGGCCAGCCGCTGGGAAATGGCAATGTTCCGTAAATGGAGGTTTATAGCTGGGAAATTATCGAGCGAAATCGGGGATTTTCCGACAGGTCATTTCTGATTAGCAGGGGGCAAGTATACTATATAATAATAACATTTACCCGAACAAGGACATGTCCGTCTTCCGATGTTTGCATTTTTTCCTGCGCAATTTATGTGGGGATTTATTTCGCCACTTCCACTTCGGCCGAAACCATGTGAGTTGATGTTTTATAAATAGGGTACACCCAACCTTCCGCGGCCATTCAATGGGGAAACTGATGATTTTCATAACATTGGATTTTGGGGTACCCAAATTTCAGATAAAACCAAATATCACATTCCTGGTTGTATATCCCGTTCCATCACATTACACGCGCATTAAACCATTCCACTAGATATTCATTGGTTATATATATATATATCGTGTGGTAAACCAACATAGCTACCATGAAAATAAAAAACAAATCATAAACCAACATAGCTACCATGAAAATAAAAGACAAATCATTGAACTAAATGGGTCATTTTTCACAACTTGATGTTAGTTTATCGGTTAATATGTGGCTAAAACAATAATAAACCATCCCCAAATCACCATTAATAGGTGATATAATATAAACCATTCCCAAATGGGTTGTTTATTATTGTTTTACCCACATTATATACCATGATTTCAGCCTTTCACCATGCACTGAGGTGCGTTTTTTGAAACTTCTGCGCTACTTCGAGTCTTTCCGGCTCTTACTGGACGCTGGTCGCCGATCCGCGGAAGCTTTGCCAGTGCTAATCTATATGACCTGTTTGATTGCCTCGCGGCTGTGGGGGCTTTGGGAGGATTTTTGATGGGATTTTAAGAGGGGAAATAATGGTTGATGGTGAATCATTTGGATACCTAATTGGATATTCAATGGTTTTACCGGTTTTACTGTACCCCCCAGTGTCATCAAACGTGGCAAGCTGGAAAATCCTCGCACTAAATGGAGGTTTTTTCATGGGCAAATCATCCATGAGGGATGTTCCATTGCCACGTTTGATTACCGGAGGGTAGTTGAAGCCTACCGGCTTCATATGCCTCCAGAAAAATTGCGTAACGGAGGGAAACGAACTCCAGTGACCAAGCAGTTAGGATTCGTGGGGGATGCTTGGAGTCTCTTGCGTGCTGGGTAGACGTTGATGGGGTTCATTTCCAGCATTTGAGCAATTTCGATGGGGGAATCTATGGCTGTGGCAATCAACTATGATCAACTATGACAAATATTGGTGTTTCCATAAATAGGGGATCCCCAAAATGGTTGGTTTATAATGGAGAATCCTATCAAAATGGAGGATTTAGGGGTACCTCCTCTGGGAATGTATAGATTTGTGATGATCAACTATGAGGTTCTGGGGTAGCCTATTTCCAGACAAGCTGAAACATGTCATATCCAACCAGGACTGTTGATACATGCGTGTATAGTGTATGGTACCATCTCCTACCCATTCCTCCCCGCCAAAGGGGCCAACGCTTCAGGTGTATGAAATCAAGCATCAACTGCAACTGGATAAAATGGGGATATATATATAATAGGCATTGAACCATCCCAAATTAGGATATAATGAGAATATAACATGAACCAATGATGATCTGGTGGTTTATACTTTTTCTTTTCCATCCTGGGATGATGCGCTCCAATTAGCAGATACCCAGGCTGCGTGCCGCCATTGATTTAGACAGGTCATGGTCTCGGCGACCGCCATCTTTTTGGGCGAGACACGGGAAACCATCCCCAGCATGCCGCACTCGCTCTGGCTGGCCCTGGTGACCATGACCACTGTGGGGTGCCTGCGGCATCTGACGGATCTGAGGAGAAATAACAATGATCATAGGGGATAGTGCAGTTAGTGCAGTTAGTGTCATGAAATAACGATGATCATTGGGATAATTAGTATAATTACTTGCATCCCCACTCAAATTTGGGGTAAATCATACCACGGGGCATGCACAAGTTCATAAACCGGAAATTGCGGATGCTGACTGTGATTACGGATTCCACATTACTTGTTGGAACGGTCTCCCAAGAAAACCGAATTGTTCGGAGAGATGTTCTATGGGGCTGGATGAGAAAGTCTGAAGAAATGGACACGGGCCATGTTTAAGACGCAGAAAGGACCAGGGATTGTGCTGAAGAACAGCATTTGTTGCGAAGATTTCGCACGATACAGTTTGGCAGCTCAGGTGATTCCGTGGTATATGTCAGAACCACTGGTGTTATTAGAGGACACACCCGGGAATGTGGCAGAAAAGAACACAGAGTTTGTACCGATGCATGCGCTTGCAAGTGAATTCAATGGGGTTTTCCCAAAATGGATGCCTCCCCCTTCATCATTAGATTCCCGATTAAAGCTGGCAATTTTTGAATTATTTTCTAGGTCCTTAGCCACATCGGTTTTTCAAGATGCTTATGGCCGCCCAAGGGTGATTTCAGCAACAAAGGCAGAGGCTTTGCGAACAAACATGTCGATTTCGACCATCAGAACCAACATCCAGAGGTTTTTTGTCGCTTTCGCTTTGATTCATATATTGGGATATCTTGGGTGTAAATCACCCATTTCTGGACCAACCCTTAAATGGGCGGTTCAGACCGGTTCAGATGATTTGTCAGTCCTTTGGTCGCATGTTCATTCGGATTGATGCTTGTCTGTCCTTGGCTTGGCTCTCGCTTGGCTTGTTTTGGGTTGGTGTCGGGTGGCATTTGGGCTTTCTTTGCCTTTATGCCTCCGTGTCGGCTTGTGTTTGCTTGGTCGCTGCTGTCCCGGTTGGTGGCTGGGCTGTTCGTGCCCTTTCCCCAATCGGCTTTTGCTCGCTTGCTTGGCCTTTGTGCCTTGGCTGGCCGTTGGGCTCCTTGTGTCCTTCGGCTCGCCGTTGCTTGGTGGTTTTCCTTGGCCTTTTTCCCTCCGGGGCCCTCTGGGTTCCTGTTGGTTGTCTTGGCTGCTGTCTCTAGGGCCTTTGTTCCCTGTTGCTAGGATGTGGTGGTGTGGGGCCTGCCCCGCACCTTCTTCGTGCGCTGTTCGCTGAGGGGCAGTTCACGCTCAAAGTCTTATATAAGTCCTTCGTTGACTTGGCTGAGGTATGGAGATTTCTATCCCAAATCCTTGCCTGGTGCTTTGCTTGCAAGTCAGGATGGCCAAGTTCATAGCCAGTTGGCCAGTTGTAAAGAATAGGGCTCAGGATGGCTCCGGTTTAAGGCTTCACATACACTACTGAAGGCACCAACAAGATCATTACATTTGGGTTGGGGTGCCCCTACCAACCTTGTATCCACTATTTGCCGGTGAGGGGACAAGTCAAATTCAAACCCACCTGGAAGGGATTTCCTCAATGTTGTGAGTTATCCAAGAGTGCCAGATTTGGGGGAAGTTTGGGAATGCGGTTTACAAGTGGTCCAAGAGGCGTTGGTGCAGGTGGCTTGGTTGCTGGTACTGTCCGTCATTTTGCGTACCAACCACCGAAACCACAACAGTGCTTGGAGGGCTTTCCCACATAGGATCCGGGTAGAAAATATGGTGAGAAGCCACTTGCAAACGGGACACCCCCAGTTCTTGGACCGTTTAACAACCTTCTAAGTGTGGGTTAAATAGTAGGATGGACCCCATCTTTTTCGGTTGGATGGTTGAATCAGGCTACCTCACAGTGGCCGTGTTGACTTTCGTCAGTGTTTTGTTTCTGGCCCTGCCCGTCGGCATCATCGGACACGAGCTGCTCGGAAAGCTGGACCGTGTCACATACGCGGAAGCTCAAATAAAATGATCAAAAGATTCAAAAGGTGGGGATGCTACGGCAGGATGGGGTTGAAGCTGATGTTTAATTATTGAAGTTGATACGTTGGAGATGGCAAGACTATGAAAGACTCAAGAGATGGCATTTTTTGCCAAGCCTTTGAACATGGCAGATGTGGCGTTTGGATCTCCCAATGAACCGGTTGGGACACCCAAAAGGACGAGCATACAGTAGCATTCGTGGGGTATGTGTATTTGTATCTATAACAATATCTATAACTATATCATTGCATATGAATATATACGTGTGTATATATATATACACGTATGTATAAAAAATACACAAAGCTTAGATCTTGAGCCATGATCATCTAGTCAATGATAGCTGAACCTCAAAGTCGAGTGGGCAAACAACCAAGCGACATCGCGACCGGGCGGGCTCTTGCTGCATGGCGCTTGGAAATCTTATCCTCTAAAACGGTAAATTTGGAATATACTATAATTTTCTAAATGATACTAATTATATAACATCTAATCATAGATATCTCATGTATCATGAATCATTGGGATGGCAGTTTTGAAAGAGCTCTTGTTTTCCATCCGAAGGATTTTTTTTTGAGGGCCACCTGGGACGAGGTTCACCATGACGTGGAAGTCGCGGACACAGATCCTGCTGATGATGCGCTTCCGCAGGGCGCTGGACAAATGGGGCTACGGCGCCCAGGACGCCGAGACGAGTTTTGGTGGAAAATTCAAGAAGAAAGTAACTGGATTTTGCCAAGACACGTGACATTATAACATAAAATTATATATATATATATATATCTATTTCTATATCTATATCTGTTGGCCATGGCCATGGATGTCATCAATCTATAGGGCCTCGGTGGATGACCAGGATACCGTGCGGCATCCGTCGGCCCGTCCTTGCAGGATTTGCGCGTGCTGATTGAATACGTTGACGTGAACGGTGAGGGCGAATTGCTCTTTGAAGACTTTGTGGAACTGATCAAGCAGATGAGGCCACGGATGGCCACAAAACATGTAGCTGCGTTCAAGGTTTGCTTCATCAAGTTCTGGGGGTTCTTAACCAACGTGCCCAATGAATTGGGAATCCTGTTCTCAAACGACCAGAAGTAAATGGCATGACATTTCGGATTTTGATCCCTGCCCACATGCCGGTGATATCCGGTGATGGTGGTGGCTGCCTTGTCTCCCCGCTGGAGGATTGGCATTTCGACAGAAGAAGCATCTCTACTTTTTGGTTACTTCGATTTTGACCTTCGGCTGTGACTTTTTGGGGTCTGAACATTTAGGATATTTAGGGGAACCCGAAATCCACTTGGTGAATCATTTTCCTGAGATGCCATATTTGCCCCTGAAATTGGGTGGTGGGACAAGAAACATGACCAAGTTTGTAGCTGCGTTGCGCAACACGAATTTTTGGCCCAAAATATGGTGATACTCCTGATGAACGCGGCAAATATGTGAGGGACGTGCAGGTTTTGTGTTTTCCAGTAGCTGTTACACACATCCGTGTGGTACTACATGAGCAAGCCAAAGGAGGTTTGTTTTGGGTTGCCATCTGGTAATCAAACGGGGCAAAGGAAAATCCCCCCGATTTTTTTCGCAGATTTTTCCAGCTACAAGCCTCCATGTACAGGGGATTTTCCAGCCAGCCACATTTGACCATATACTGTATATACATGTACACACATATGCATATATATATACATATATATATATATATCAATGAATCAATGTCATCAATGGATCAATAATGGGGGGGGGTCCCTTTGACTTGCTGCCCTTTGAGCGGCCTGGATGGGCCGCTGGGGTCAGCTAACGGGTTGCAATGCACAACTGGATAGTACCCCTGCGAAAGATAGAACAGTATTTCATCATTTTTTTTATTTCAGTGGGATTTTATTTATATACTAACACTAATTATACTTTTTTGGGTCATAAATTGCTTTAGGGAACACTATTTCAGGGAATTTCAGCCATCCATCTCAGTCCGTCGAGGATCTGTGTACCCCCCAAAATGTTGAGTCGAATTTAGGAAAGGTGGGAATTCAACTGAGCCGTGTTCAAAACCCGGTTGGTTGATGATTCTAGGGCACTATACTTATGCTAACCAATATATTGGGGACTATCACATCTAATGTTGACTAGATGGAAGCGATGATAGTTTGACAGTAAAAAGCCCCCCTCACAGAGGGAATGTTGATTTGCGGGAAAAGAATGCGTTGAAGAAACTCCCGTGGTGGGTGGGAAGGTCAGGGACAGGGACTTTGAATGACCCTACGCAGTGTCCTTGGCTGTCAATAATCCAATCCTTTGCAAACAAGAACAGTGTTGCTACAACAATAGACCGATTCGAAACCGACATGGAGAGCCAGTTAAGGACAGGTCATCGGATATGACCCGCAAAGTAAGATCGGATATGACCCGGGATGGTTGGATGAGGTTGAGATGTCGCCAAGGTTTCGCCGAGGTCTCGCCTAGGTCTGGCCCCTTCTTGCCATACTCTCTGCCTGCTGTCGACCCAGTCTCACCTAGTGGTCGCCCCAGTTTCGTCATAGCCTCGCCATAGTCTCGCATCGGTCCGGTGGGCATGTAGGTGGTGCAGATCCCGCATGTGGGGTTTTGCAGATACCTGTGGAAATGGGATGTGCATGGCAAGCGGGATGCGCATGTGGGGGTGTGCAGATAGATAGCTGTGGAAGTGCAAGTGAACGTTACCATCCCCCATCCATCCCAATCCACCAATCCCCAAGCAAATCCCAAGGCCACCCCAAGAAACAACGCTGGTTGCAATCCCCATGGCGTTTTCAGGACGGGAACGGCATGGTGGACCATGCGGAGCTCATGAAGCATCTCTTTCCAAAGGACTACATGAAGCTGGAGTTGGAAGGTGCCTGGGAAACCCCTCGTTTCCACCAGCAGTTGTGGTTTTTGTATGATTTGTGGTTGGGCCCTACTTTATTGATTTTTTTCCTCACCTTTTGATTGGTTGATGTACTGGTTCCTGCATCCATGATGGTCGGTGAAGAAAGATGCTTTAGAGCAATGCTGGCAATGCTTCTATACTCACACATACCGCCGTCAAGCCGGCTTGGTGGTAACATCCAATCCCCCGAACGCCCAAAATGAAAAGAGTGAGTCCATACCAAACATCAAGAAGTGCCCCCAAGGTAGGTTTAAATAGGATTTATGGTGATATATCTACGGTTGTATTTATAGACAACAAATATCACTGGATTGTGCTCCTTGCCACAACTTTTGGGGTTTACAAACCCCACAAGTCATAATATGTCATAATTTCTCTAGGATTTCTGGGAAAACCCTTGGGATTTCTGTTTGCATGGCTTTTTGTCTTGTCACATCCCGCGTGGCGCGTCAGGGAGAATGAGCCGCAGCTCGCGGCAGTCACGGATTCGGGTCAGCGATGCCATAGAGATTTTGGCTCAGGGCCCTCCAAAGGTGGGGGGCGAAGCGGGATGTTGAGGAGTTCACCCAAATGGACCATATTTTAATGATGTTTAATGATGTTTAATGATGTTTAATGATTGTTTAATGATGATTTTATGTAATGCTTTAATGATGTTGAATGGGAGTATCAATGAGTATATTTATCCATATTTCATGGTTTAATGATGTTTAGTGGGAGTATCAATGAGTATAAAATTCATGGGATCTAATGATCATGGGATTTTTGAAAAACCAACAGAATAGGATATGGTTGTGTTTGAAAATGGGGGAAAGACACATAAGATAAGATTGAGTCATTTTCATGGGGAAAATGTATGGACATGTTGATGAACATGAATTGTGGCACTATTTTCTTTCAGACAAACCCAGAAGGGAGTGGTTTTTCAAGCCAACCCAACTCAGAGTGAACAATGATGATGAGAGGCCAGTACTTTGCCATGGCAGCCAGTGGGTTGGGGATATTTGGGGGTTGGCAGCCAAGGTGTTGAATGTTTGGGAATTCTGGGTATCAAGTGGTCCAGAAATGGCGGCGATTCACCCCAGGTCGGTGAGATATCCACAGTCGTTACTGTACCCTCCAAACGAACATAGCCATGGGCCTATGGAAAACATATGTCCCGAACCAAACAAATGCTATTTTCCATAGTGATGTTAGTTTTCTGGGGGTTTATCACCTGTTTGATTTTTAGATGAAGATCCAGAATTACCCGCCCTAGTTTACGGGCAAACTGGCCCGGCCATGGATGTTTTGGGGGATTTCCAGCCATGCTTGTTGACAGGACGGTAGGGTAATATACTGTTTTTGGTAACCCCAAAAAGATAAAAAGTAATCATCACCATTTTAGTGGGATTTGACTTTTCTATTCTTTTTTGGATGCTTTAATTCTATATTTATCAAACCCAAGCTGGATGGTTTCAGACATTTGCGGATCCATTGGTGACTTGGAACAAGTTATTTTTGAGCCGTAGCTCTTTCCCTCAAGCGTGTTGATACTAAAGTTACTAAAGACTGTGCTGGATCATGTTATTTGGAGAATTCATACACTTAAAATTAAGCCCATGTTTTGCACTGATCCACTGGGATAAGGACATTGTTTTGCTTAAATCCTCCTACCCCCATCTTGGCAGGATCCAACCATGCGCAGTTTGGGAATATACATCTGTGGCACATGGGGTGTTCAAGCCGAGAGAACAGAATTGGGCGGCAAACTTTACACGACCTACTTGTACAATGGGATTTATATAACCCACAAGAGCACGGCGTTACAAAAGAACCAGTGGGAGATCAATAAAAGTGAACTATCATTACCCAGCATACAATGTGCAGCAATGAAATTTCTGAGACGTCCTTAAATGTTTTTTTTCGCCAACACGGTGTTGATCGGCAAGAAATCAGCATGGGATTTTTCACTGTTGGTAGGGTGGTAAACCCCGGGGACGATCACTGTACTACAGCAATGCTGGCGATTTCCCCCCAGATCTGTCGGGTTACCAATCATGACATTTGGTGAGGCGATTGGTACTTAGTGACTTAGTACCCCATCTTGGACCAGCCATTCTTTGTACGAAAAATCTCGCATCCTGAGGAGGAAGAAGCGCTGTCAGAACCGGATTTGCAAGCTAGTGGATCTCACTGGAGTCACTAGCGCTAGCTCGAGCCTGCCTGTCCAGCAGGGGTGGGCCCAGTTTGTAAACCGATTTCGGTGGGGAAAATGGTGACTGGATTTAAGGGAACCAATTTGAGTCGTCCAGTCGTGACTTTTGATGAATTTTGGGGGTACCTAGGTTTGGGGACACACAATGATCCATTTTGTTGGGAGCCTTTTTTTTGGCCCATACCAAGTGAAAGCGGGAGAGGTTCAGGCTCGACTTGCGTGGCACATCGTGGCATGTGACGCCGACGTGGTTTTGGAGGATTCTTTCACCGACTTTCTGAACCAACGAGTGCGTTGAAGATGGACCCAGCTTTGGTCACTTGATCCATTTGAGTGATACCTAAGTACTAAATGTTGTTATTGACAAACAGAATCGTCATTTTTGCCCATGGAAAACAACCAATTGTTGGGGTCAGTGCCAGATCGATTGGCAATGTGAGTCAGTGTCGCAGAACAAAGCGTGCGCGGGATTTTCGCCGACACTGCGGTTCGACTGAACCCCAGATCCCACGCTTTGGGTATATATAGAAGAATGGATGCGGGTACAACAGAGGAAGAAACCAAATGGCAGGAACATTGAACATTTTGCTGAGCAATACCGTCACTTCAACTCATTGATCACTTAGGACATGCAAAGCCATAAAAATTGCAGGTCTTTTGCGCCAGAATATATATATATATATGAAAGTGTGCCCACTTGTCACCTCTCCACGATCAACATGTGAGTTCGGTGCTATCAGCAATTTGGCACGAACCGCCAGTGGAAAAAGGAAAGATCTCGCCGTATCGCATTGCCATACCTTTTGTCAATCCTTCACTGGCTTCCATCTACGATTGCTTGTGCAAGTGCAGCTGCCGTGCATGGTAGCGGAGCCTCCGCGCGAGGCTTGAGATCCAGGGCTCCAAGACAATCTCTGGCTGCAAGGCCGCTGGAGAACACATGGCAGCAAATGAGAAAGGATTTCAACAGATCCTAAGGTCAAAAGATGGTGTACCATGCTGGGACGGAAATGCAGCAACGTTCCAGGAGTATGCAGAGATGGCAAGTCACTGGGAACAGTCAGTGGCCCAGCACAAGAGATATTTGTGCGGGCCACGGCTCCAAGCTGAGCTTTCTGGTACGGCAAGGAGGTTCGTACTAGCAATGAAGCCTGGATGGATATCTCATGATGGGGGTGTCTCTCGCCTCCTCAGTCACCTTCGACGTCACCTTGGCCAACCTCAGTTGACAGAGATGTCGGAGTACATGTCCAAGTACTTCAAGCAGACCCGAAGGCGCCGTCATGAAGGGATGAATGAGTATGTAACCAGAAAGGCTGAAGTCTATGCTCGGGCTTGCCAGACGCTGGACCGTGTTCAGCGTCGCTATGCTCCCACTACTGTCTCCCGAAGCCAAGGCAGCGTGGTCGAGCCGGCAGCCAGCAGCACCACCAGCCATGCTGGTGCTGAAGAAGCTGAACCAGATGATGCTGCTTACTACGATGCTGATGAACATGAAGAACAAGGAGAAGAAGACCAATGGCAAGGCTCCTGGTCATGGTGGCAATCCGGGGATTGGTCGCACCGTGGATGGGATTGGGGCCGTTGGTCCAACAATGAACGAAGCTATGGGAGTGCCGCAGCAACTCCGGTCAACACATGGATGGAAGAATCAGTAGATCTACTTCCGTCCTTTGTCCAGGGATGGTTTCTCCTCCAGGACGCAGGCTTGGAAGCTCATGAAAGAAACATGGTGATGACGGCCTTGAAGAGCGACTTCTCGGTGGAGCGCGTAGCCCAGGAGTTACGCAATCAGTGGCCAGATCATGATCTACGACAAAGAGACCAGGGTGCTCGCGGCAGTGCATGGGCTGCAGAAGATGTTCCAGGAGAAGACTCTCTGCAAGACATCTATGAGCCAGACTTGAATGGCCTGGCGCAGTCTGGCATGAACGATGAGGGCTTGATGATGATCGAGTCGGCAGAGGAAGAGGTCCAAGGGGCCCTGGCCTTGATGGAGCGTGGAAGGAAGACGCTCAAAGAGGCTAGAGCCAAACAACACCAAGTGAAGATGAGCAGACAGTTCTACCGAACTGACTACCGGAGCACACGCCCTTCAGGTGGTTCCTCAACAACAACGGGTGGCTTTGCTGGCAAGTGCCTCAAGTGTGGCGTGGTGGGCCATAAGGTGGCACAGTGCCCTCAGCGCACCCAGGACAATGCTTCAACGGCTGAGCCTCGAGAAGAAGCACCCTTTGTCTGCTTCTCGGAGGCCCAGGACACAGCCAATGTCGTGCGAGAAGGGGTCACCTCTGAGCAGGCCATGCTGCAGGGTAAGGCCATCTTAGATGGTGGTGCAACACGCACCCTAGGCTCAGTAGCGGCAGTAGAACGTCTGATGGAACTGAATCAGCAGCGCAAAGGAGACACAGGTCTCCGACATGTAGATAGTGAGCAGCGTCCAGTTTTCGGCTTCGGAAACTCCAGTTCCGATCGCTGCTTGTCAACGGCATGGATGCATGTGGAAGCCGGGGGTCGGGGTGGTGAGTTGAAAGTCCACACTTTGGATCGTGGGTCTAGCCCTATTTTGTTTTCCATTGAGACACTCCGATCCCTGGGCGCAATCGTAGATTTCAAAGAAGATTTGATTGTTTTCCGTGAACTGGATCCCAAGAGGATCATTGAGCTGGAGAGGTCTTGTACAGGACATCAGCTGTTGCCACTGTCGGATGATTGGTTCACCCAGTCCAAGCTGGCTCAATCGCCAGTGCCCAGTCTGAAGGACTACATCTAGGGACAACTCCTTTCTTCGTCTCCGCCCGTAGGTGAAAGAAAGGTCAATAGTAGGACGGGTAGTGCACAGCTGTTGGAAAACTCATCAGGTGAAGTTTTGGTTGAACAAGGGTTGAAAAACTCATCATGTGAAACTTTGGCTAAACGTGGAAACGATGAATGCAATGATGATGATGATGTTGTTGATGAAGTGGTTCATTTGAATGTTGTTAATAATTCCCTCAATAATAACCCCCCTGGTTCTGAAGCAAGTGTTTTGACACCGGAAGCTGAGAAGCAGAATGACAGAGCCACCTCTCAAGTTCGAGCTCGCACGCCTGCTGATCACACAGCCCCTCACCATGTCAGCCATGACTCGCGAGGAGATCCTGGACGAGCTGATCAGCCTTGGCGAGCTTCCGCCGCAGTCGTGGAGCAATGCCGAGATGAAGCTGCGGATGGAAGAACTGCGAGTGGCCAAGGGTTTGAATCCAAACCCGAAGGCCAAGGAAAAGACCCCCTTGAGGCAGATGATGATCCGTCTCAATGCAGCCAGCACCAAGAAGCAGGACTTGGTCACTTTTGTGCGAGACGAGCTGAAGGTGCCCATCAGTCCCAACGACACGATTGCCGTGCTCAAGAAGAAGGGCATCATGGCCATCTATCACTTGGCCCCTCCAAGTGCGATGGATCCAGTGGGCTTTGGAGCACATGCAGCTCTTCACTACCAGGAGCTGAAGCAGACCCAGCCAGAGTACTGCAAATGGGTGCTGATGACAGCACAAGAGGGCTCTTGCGATGCTCGCCTGGCCCGTCTGGCCTCATGGCTGGTGATGGACCAGCAGGGTCCCACCTCATCCAGCCAGGAGACAGCCAACCCAGTGCGCATCACCAAGGAGGAGCTGATCCAAATGGGCTACCTTCGGCAGCCAGCGATCAAACCAAAGGCCAAAGCCGTGGCCGCACCTTCGGTGACCTCAGAGAAATACAGCGAGAGCTCCTCCACCCGAGAGCTGATGGAGAGCTTGGTGGCAGTGGTCAAAGATTTGAAGGAGGAAGTCCAAGAGCTCAAGGAGGGCAAGCCTCGCAAGAAGCCTGCCAGCGACAACGGGAGCTTCGAAGTGATGTGAGCTCTACAGCCTCCTCTCCATCTATGGCCGATGATGGCGCTTTGTGGTCTGAGAGCGCTGACCCTAGCTTAGTTCCAGCCTTAGGTCGGAAACCTAGCTCACAGGTGTCTTGCCCTAAGGGGGAAACTCAGAGAATTTCTAGGATCAGCCGTGATCTCATTGCCGATACTGTTCATGAACTGCGAGCACCTGAGAGTACCATATTACTGGAAGTGGCTTGTAGCACAGACAGTGTTTTGACCACAATGATGCATGAACTGACGGGTCAACCAGGTTCCGCTCATCGGTTGTCCATTTGGAATGGTTTTGATTTGACCACCAACTCAGGGTTGAAAGCTGTTTTGGATAAAATCGATGTTTTGAGACCTGAACATGTTTGGCTGTCACCGGACTGTGGCCCTTACAGCATAATGCAGAATGTGAATCAAAGATCACCGGAGCAGTGTGAAGCTCTGGCTGAGAAAAGAAGGGATGCCCTCAAGCAGTACACGGCATGCTCTGTCATATTTAGGTACTGTTACCAAAGGGGTATACACACCACATGGGAACTCTCACAAACTTGTCAGGCCTGGCGTCTCCCTCTTCTTCAGAAACTTGCAGTTTTGGACGGAATGCATTTTGCCAAAGTTAGGGGTTGTCAGGTAGGACTGAAAACTGAAAAGGGAGATCCCATTCAAAAGGGTTGGAAATTGATGACCACTCATGCCCTCATGTCACAACGCATGGAATTACCTTGTAGGTGTGGACCAGGGGTTGCTCATGTTCCATGTCAGGGTTCAATCACAAAGAAAACGGCTTTCTACACACTTGCTTTCGCTCGTCGGGTTTGTGAAGCCATCCTCCAAAAGGGAGACCCTAAAATGCTTCCTGGGGAACTGAATGGTTCGGTTCATTTTGGGGATGAGTTTGGGAAAGGAACCTTGTGTGTTTGTAAAGAGGGGAACCACCATGATGCTGGGTTAACTTGTGGGCATTGTACCCGGGATAAAGATCTTATTTCTGGGGTGATGGTTGCGGATAAAAGGGATGGAGTTCTGACCACCAAAATGACCCCCGAAGAGATTCAAAGACGGTTGTACCTTCTTCACTCGGCAACAGGTCATGGACAGGTGAAACATTTGGTTCAAACCTTGCGTAGGAGGGGAGTGGCAGAAACCATCATCAAGGCTGCTGAGAACTTCAAGTGTCCCATATGTGAAGAACGTAAGCGGCCCCAACCACGAAATGTTTCTTCCCTGGAACCTTTGCCCCAAAGATTCGCCACTGTGAGTGCGGACATTGGCCATTGGATTCACCCCTACACACAGGAAAAATGGCAGTTTGTGGTGATGGTTGATGAGGGTTCTCGGTTCAAAGTTGGAAAAATGGTTGCTCAGGGAAAGAAACAACATGTTTCTACGGCTCAATTCCTCCAAACCTTCAGGGAGTCATGGGTGCAGTACTTTGGTTACCCCCAAACTTTGAGGTTGGACCCCGATGGAAGTTTCCGTAGTAAAGAAATGGAAGAGTTTTGTGACAAACATCATGTTTTCTTAGATATTATTCCTTCTGAAGCTCATTGGAAAATTGGGGTTTGTGAAAGAACTGTTCAGTCGGTTAAACACGTCATGGAATGTATGGCTCAAGAAGAACATGATATCTCAGCACAGGATGCTTTGTCAGAGGCTTTTAGAGCACTGAATCACCGCGACACAGCCCGCGGATTTTCACCGTTTCAGCACGTCCTTGGTAGGGCTCCAGATGAGGCAGGGAGATTTTTCACTCCTTTGAATCATGATGCTCTGGAACCAATTTTGGATTCGGAACGCCAGGACATGGCACAGAACCACCACCGTAGACTGGTGGCAGAGAAATCATTTTTGGAATGGCAGGCCAAAGAGCGACTGTCACGTGCGGCATCCTCAAAGCACCACAGAATCCTCGATTTTTCTGCAGGGGATATGGTTTACATATGGCGAAAACAACTGACAGGGGTAGATGCTCAACAAAACAAGATTGGACAGGGACGCTTTGTGGGACCAGCGAGGATCCTTGCTACAGAGCAGAAGCGTGACTCCCAGGGCCATCTTATACCTGGCAGTTCAGTATGGCTAGTAAGGGGCCGCCGCCTCTTGAAGTGCTGTCCGGAACAACTAAGACACGCCTCTGAGAGGGAGAAGATTCTGACAGAACTACATGATCAACACCAAGTGCCTCAATGGGATTTTCCTAAAGTGGCACAGGAGCTGGGTGGCAATGAATATGAGGACATTACAGAAGCCCCTACACTTGGGGAGTGGAAGCGGGCGAGAGACCCCGCATCAGAGTGGCAGCCCACCATACGATTGAACAGAAAGAGCTGTGCTCCCACTCCGGAGGTTCCAGCCAGAGGAAGTGATGATCTGGTGTCAGCACCAGGTGATCCACTTCCCCAGGATCATGGACCAGGGGAGCATAGAGCTCGAAGCCGCAGCCGTGGTCGAGAACCATCAGAACCCATGAGCCATGGTTTTGCAAAAGCTCCTCACTGGTCTGGAAAAGTGGATGAGACGTTTTTCGTTGATTCAAATCCACAACAAGAGTTTCGGAACTCAGTTTTCTCTGTAGAGATCGATATGCCACAGACTCGAAGCAGTTCTGAAAGAGCCTTCAAGGATCTACAAGCATACTTCACCACAGCAATGAGGAAGCGAGCCGTGGAGATTTCTGAAAGAAGGCTTACCCCAGCGGAAAAACAACAGTTCGATCAGGCGAAGGCGATCGAGGTGAACAATTTTATTTCTGCAAGAGCGTTTGAAGCACTGGCTCCCGAACACAAGTTTTCAAGAGCAGATGTGATCAATATGAGGTGGATTTTGACTTGGAAAATGAAACCTGACGGTAGCAAGAAAGCAAAGGCTAGGGCTGTACTGCAGGGCTACATGGATCCAGAATATGAACATAGAGCAACTCATTCACCTACAACAACGCGGTTATCACGGCAACTACAACTGCAGATCAGTGCGAGCAAAGGATTTCGCACAAAGAAGGGTGATGTGACTGGTGCTTTCTTACAATCCAGAGAATACCCTGAGGAACTTCTCTGTGTGCCCTGTGACGAGATTTGCCAAGCAATGGGTTTGGCCCCAGGCTCAGTAACAAAGGTCAAGAAGGCTTGCTACGGTTTGGTTGACGCGCCATTGGAATGGTACAGATCAATTAGCAGTTATTTTACTTCACTGGGACTGAAGAAATGTTGGTCAGATCCTTGCTGTTGGACTCTGGTCCATGAGGGTCGATTGCGTGGGATCATTACAGGACATGTGGACGATTTTCTTTTTTCAGGAGCTGATGACGATCCTATTTGGCAATCAATTTTACAAAAGATACAGGAACAATACAAGTGGGGAGAATGGGAATCAGGAAAGTTTGTGCAATGTGGAGTTTTGGTACAACAACATGACAATGGCACATATACACTGTCTCAGGAGAAATATGCCGAAGAACTTCAGCATATCAATGTCCGAGCGTCACGACGTAGAGACAAACATGCACCAACTGACTCTCTGGAAAAGACACAATTGAGAGCACTACTGGGAGGCATTAGTTGGCATGCCCAGCAGGTGGCACCCCATTTTGCAGCTGATGTGAGTCTTATGTTATCTGAAGTCAACACAAGCACAGTAGAGACTTTACTGCGTGCGAATCAGCTTTTGGACCAGGTGAAAAATATGAAAGATACTTCACTGGTTATTCACAACATTCCCATCTCAGAACTGATTTTGGTAGCATGGGCGGACGCCGCTTCAATCAACCGCCATGATGGTGGCAGTACCCAAGGAATTTTCATTGGAGCGACGTCCAAAGAAATTTTGGAAGGACGTTGTAGCCCAGTTTCAGCAATTGCGTGGCACTCCTCAAAGATAGGACGTGTATGTACGAGCCCAGGTTCCAGCGAGGCCATAGCAGCCACCAATGCTGAGGACTTGTTGTTTTTCAGTAGATTCCAACTTGCCGAAATGTTGGGTTACCATGTAAATATTCGAGAACCAAATTCCACTGTAAATAAGATTGTTGGATGTCTGGTAACAGATAGTCGAAATGTTTATGATAAGCTGGCGACTGAAGTGGTGGTAGCAAAAGGTGCGGAGAAAAGGGTGGATGTGACACTCATGAGACTGAAAGAATCACAGAATGTCAACCAGGTCTTGGTCCGATGGGTTCACTCTGACGCCCAACTGGCGAATGGACTGACTAAGGCACGAGAACTAAGGCAATTGCTCTTGTACTACAACATGGGTCAACACTGGAAAATAGTGGAAGATCCTACTATGTCTTCAGCAAGAAAACGAAAGGAGAAGGGTCAACAGCCTCTTGAAGATGCAGAAAACTCTACCTTCAGTAGAGACCAACCTTGCGAAGGACCAGGGTAAAAGTTTTGGGTGTAACTGGATGTGGTTTGTTTTGATCGTTCGATGGATGATGATGAGTTGCTTCTTCCTTTTTGGTTCGTTGGTTTTTCTCTTGTTTTGTTGTTGTCATACATGATGAGTATTTCCTCCAACAGGTGGCATGAAAGTGTGCCCACTTGTCACCTCTCCACGATCAACATGTGAGTTCGGTGCTATCAGCAATTTGGCACGAACCGCCAGTGGAAAAAGGAAAGATCTCGCCGTATCGCATTGCCATACCTTTTGTCAATCCTTCACTGGCTTCCATCTACGATTGCTTGTGCAAGTGCAGCTGCCGTGCATATATATATATACATACATGTGGTAGGTTCGGTATGAAAGGTAGATCGCAAAGTTGCCTCTTGGAAAATGCATATCTACACAATGTATATATAATATGTATGTATATATATATTAAATAAATATGTATATATATATACATATGTATATATATAGATATTTATACCGTATTTAAATTAAAACATATATGGCTTATATATGCAAATAACTACAAATATATTTCTCATCTGTATAGGTATCATACATGTAGACAGTCATCCTGAAGTAATAGAATACATTTTTTCAACATATTGACGTATTAATGCTGCGTTGTTGAAATTTCCATATCCTATCTACCCCAGGATGACCTATACACATTATACACATATATAAATTTACACCAATTTTTCGAGTTGGAGGCTGCAAGCAGGCTCAACCAGCTATGGGATCAGTCGGATCATCCGCGTGTAGTAGCTTCCCTGCACAGCCCGAGGGGCAGGCTTGCGTCCCACGGGGTCCATTTCACACCTCCTCAGCTGGCGGTGGAATGACCCTGGTGATGTGGAGATCTTGGGATGAATCATGGATGCGATGAGACTGTTAACAAGTACTTAAACGCATGAATTTTTGGGGTTATAAATGGGGAACCGAAACATACTTGGCACACAACTCAGGGTATCTAGGATTGACTATGTATGTTACCTACTTGAAAACGAGGATCGAACAACTAAGGTAACGGAACGGAATGTACCACCCAATGGCCACCGGTTCCCACAAGGCATTAAGGACAACAAAGGAAACCTCGAAAGTAACCAGCTTATACCAACATCATATTTGACAAAAAACACCCTTTCTTCCAGATTTCCCTTTAATCATCCCACTGATGAATTTATAGTGATTGAGATGACAGGTCAGGTTTGGGACTAGTTGAAGCTTCGGCGAGGGAGTATGACAACCAGAAACACTGAAAATACGCATCAAACATCGGATTAAATTAACATAGTATGTGGAACCAACAAACATGGAGGATTCAGAAGGATTCCATGTTTGGAGGTCCCTTTTCTTTCCGATGATCTCCCCAGTTTTGGTTGTGTTTCAAAACTGTTGAGCCCAACAAAAAAATACTGTTTTCTGGGAAAAACATGGTGCATCTAGGTATCGCATTTTAGATCCCCGCTAGTTTTGTTTGTCCATGCTTGTCCCCATGTCTGGTCCCCATTTTTCCCGGTGGTCTCCCCAAGTCGGTTCATGTCCACACCACATCTGCAAGTGACACCATGGAATTCCCCATCTCCAGCTCACCGGTACATGACCTTCCGACCAGCAGAAGGGTCTTTTTTTGATCCATGCATGCATCCCCAAAAAAACGGAATCGATGGTGGGTTTGACCATCCCCAAAAAAGCGGAATCGAAGAAACAAGTTGGGCAAGCTATCCAACCCGAGCCATGCAGTGTCTTGAAGCAAAACTGAGATACTCTTGTTTCGGCAACTGTGATGAAACTACCCACATGACTGACGGGCAGGTAGGAGTGACTGACTGCCAAAATTGGACGTCTTGATACTACAAATGACCGAACTTGCGTGTCCAGAGAGAACGCATTTTTGGACCATTCCATTTTTCCTTGCAGCTTTTCTTGTGGAATGATTTTTGGTTTCAAAAACAACAACAACAACAACAAAACCACATGTTTATTAGTAGGCAAGTCCACATTTTTGTTGGTTGTTTTCTGCAGCATCTTGAAAAAAACAACTGTTCCGACACTCCTATCCTTGGTGACACGCTTGGAACTTGGCCTGTGGCTCAAGAGCACGTTGTCTGACCTCTTCGTTTCATGTTTTGGGCATTTTT